TCTTTAAGAACTACAGAACACCATCCCTCCGAACCTCTTTCAGAACGCATTTCTCTGCAACCACGTGTTTACTGTAGGTAAGGTTTCTTCATGTAAGACGTTCAAATTTTTTGCGCATTAATGCAAGATGGACAAATACCTTGTAAAGGCAATATCTTCTACTCCGAAACGGACAAATGAAAATGAAACAAATGTGGGTAGAAACGATCAAAACGAAACAAATACGCATTTGAGTTACCTAATTAGAATAGCTGATGAAAAAGTAGATATAGAACATTTTCCATATGATGATGCAGCAAAAATATTCAATGCTTTAAAAATTAGAAGATATTAAAAATGTACTATAATTAAAGAAATGATTTTTTTCATGTTTCTTTACGTTTTTGTTTTTTAATTTTTAGAAATCTCACTTAACTTTTTGAAATCTCACCCTGTTTTTGAGAAAGGGTGAGAAATTCTCACCCATTTTTTCTCTGCGATGAAAACACTGGAGCTATCTGGCGGACGGGTAAAAATGTGGAAAATCTCATTTGCTGCATGTAAAAGGGGAGAAAATAACTAAAATAAGTAAAAATGAGAAAGGATTGGTAACTATGTAGTTTGAATTTTCTGTTTCTCTTTGAAAATCGATGAATTTTCTGAAAAAGCGGAATATTTATTAAAAAATGTGAAATTTTTAAAAAATCTGAATTTTTGATAAAAAGCTGAAATTTAAGAGATAAAAGTGAAAAAGGCGGAAATCCGCGAAAAAGCAGAAAAATCTCATCTCTGATTTCTAGTGGAAGGAGTTTGGTCTTGATCGTCTGCCAAATAACTCAAAGATTTTAAAACTGAATCGTAGTTTTGACGCAATGCCTTAGTAGCATTTGCATCAGCACACCATCGTGTACATGAACGATTTTTTAAGGTCAGTTTTTGCTTACTTCCTATAAAATTATCAATCATAATCTGCCATCGGTATGTTGAAACAGAAAAAAAGTTATATAATTCTTGCAGTAAAGAAAAAAAATTCACAACTCTAATACAGGATTCTACAGCATTTATTCCAACTAAATTCAAAGAATGAGCAGAACATGGTACGTATTCCGCAGTAGAATTAATATTTTTAATTCTTGCTTGAACACCTGAATATTTCCCTGCCATGTTGGAGGCATTATCATAACTTTGGCCCCTGCAATTTCGTATGTCCAGACCTAAATCTTCCAAAACTTGCAATATAACATTGGTTAAACTTTCTGCATTGTGACCAAAAATTTGTATAAATTTTATAAACCTTTTAACAGGTTCATAATCAGGACCAAGATATCGCAAAATTAAAGTTAACTGGTTCATATGGGTAACATCTGGAGTAGAATCCACTATAATTGAAAAATACTTGGCATCTATAACTTCTTTAATAACAACATTCAAGACTTTTTCACCCATTAATTCAACAAATTCATTCACAATTGTTGATGATAAATAATTAACATTGCCAGTTCCTTGATTACCAGCTTTTTCGATATGCTTCGCAAGAAATGGATCAAACTGGGCTATCAATTCAAGGCAACCCAAAAAGTTCCCATTATGAGTTGAACCGAACGTTTCATTTTCCCCAAAAAAACCCATACCTCTTGATGATAAAAATTTAACTGTTTCAACAATTCTTTGTAACACTGACCGCCAGTAATGCACTTCACTTTGATATTGCTTGATTATTGCAGAATCAATTCTTTTTTCAGTTTTAAGTCTCTGGGTAAACTTTAAAATTGATTCCCTGTGCATAAAAGAATTTTCATGCTCTGTAAGTCGAATGACAACATGCTTGCAATCATCGAAGCCAGATGTTGAAAGGCTAGTTGTTGTATTTCCAAATAATTTGCAAACCCAGCAAAATAATTTCTTTTCTGATGCTGATAATACCAGCCATTCTCTTGCCAATTTTTCACCATTTTTTTTTTAATTTAAAAAAAATTAATTTTGGTTAAAAGACGTTTGCCTCAGGGTTGGGTTTTTGACGTCAAAAAGTGGTTTTTGACATGACAGGGGTATAATACTGGTTTAAACCGTCAAAAACCCGTCGAAAATGTCAAAAACTGAAGTTTGCCAAGAAAATATATAAACTTCAAAACTACCAACAGTTGCCATGCATTATATTGAAATTTAATTATACTATAGGTAATCAGCAGGTTTTAAAATATTTTTTAATTAAAATTAAGGTAAAATAACAGATTTAAAATCTCAGAAATTTATATTCAAATGCATGTGCAGAAAAATTTTGCACAAAAATTGTTTAAATATTTATTTTTAAAAAAATTTTTTTTTTCTTTTTGATACTTAAGAAAATTAAAAGTTTATTACTATGCATTTTTGACATATAAGGAACATATAACTAATATTTATAAGGAACTTACAAGTTATGTTGTATAAATACAAACTTGATACAAGATACAAGTGTATAAAAAATTTTTTTTAATGTTATACCGAATATCTTTATTATCCAGTATGTTAATTTGAATTTAAAAGTAGTTATATTTATGAATAATGATAAATATAATTCATATTGTTTATTATATTTATTTATAATTATTACACTTATCATTTTAAAACAATTTTTATCTCTTAATTTTTTTTTCTCCACTTGTATTAAGAATACAAATAATGCATATCTTGAAAGCAAGAAGTAATTATTCAACAGCTGAATATTTAGATATTCAACAAAACTATATAGTATTCAGCAAAATGAAATTCACAAGTATTTGGATAAACTAAATTTTCAGCATAGTAAATGAATAGGCTGAATATACTGTAAATCGACACTAACTACTCTGTGTATTTAACAGAAAGCACTTAAATTTGTATTGTCTTATGTTAAAAAGATTATTAAGAAGATTTAAAAGAATATTAAAAAGATTTTTCTTTAAAAGATGTCTAATGTACAAAACTGCTAATGTTTATCTTTAAAAATGTCTAATTTTTAGTATAATCTATACTATACACTAAATTTGGTTATAAATAAATTTCTTAATAATATCACTGCAGATTTTCAATAACACATGAAAATGAATACATAATATTACAAAAGATGTGAGCTTTCAAAAGTACAAGATTTTGGTTACTATTCAAAATATAAGTGTTTCTTCAAAATTTTAAATTTATTTTTTCTAGAACATATTTAGAAACACTATCCTTTATAAAAAATATATAAATTTTATGTATTAATTAAATTTCACATATGAATATAGGTTTTTGACATTTTTGACAGTGAGGTTTTTGACGTGACGGTTTAAACTGTCAAAAACTGTCACATGTCAAAAACCTGCCAACCCTGTTCACACTATATTCTGAATTACCAATATTGTGTATATTACATTTTTAGCATAATTTAATAACATCACAATCTTTTAACATAGCAATTTTACTTAAAACCTTTATTTTACTTATCTTTAAGGTGTATTAATTGGAGCAAAATCTGATTTAAAAGAGAGAAGAGCAGTTAAAGCAAGCATTGCTCAAGATTACTCTAGAAAAAATAATTTACAGTATTTTGAGTGTTCATCTGTAAGTAATTTTTAGGTATTTTCAAAATGTACTTAATTCTTCATTATCTACAAAAAAAACATAGATAAGTCAACAATTATGTATAGTATGTATCATAATAAACAATATCTGTAAACAGAAACAGAACTTACTCACCACCTGTAAGAATCTAAAGTTTTTTTCAAATAAAGAATGACATAGTTTAGCCGAAACTTACCATAAAGTTTACTAGAAGCTCAACACGAAAATCGACCATTAGTACTTAAAGAAATTAAGAAAATGTAAAATGTGATTCAAAAAGGCATCAAAATCCGATAGACTTACATTTGAAAGCGCGCTACCCGATTGATTGTAAACAAAGATCGTGAAGTCACGTGATCAGTTAAGATACGGTTGCAGTCATCACTGTGCGGTATCATTCGATATTTGGAAAGGGATCCGGAAGGGCTGTTGCTTGGCTGCCCGCCTTTTTAATAAATAGAGGCATTTGATTGGTCGTTTACATCATCGTTTTCATCTTTATCGCTTAATCGTATTGTCAGGATTACTAGAATGGCATTTTTAGCATTTTTGTTTGGCGTAATTTTACTACTGCGCATGTTCGGTTTGATAATTTATTCAAACCAATCGAAGCACTTCGTAGACAATGAATATAGATGCTTGTATCCCCTCCTTTCCTTGTATGTACTCAGACTAAGATATAAAGATCAATCACTATACCAAACGGATGTCAGGGTGAACTTTGACATAATTGATTTCTACTCCATTTTTTCTTATTTGATTTTTATAAATTGTCATGATAAATAATAACATTCTGTCTCTGTGCCAAAAAAATCTCAACACATTTTTTTCAAATTTTTTAAAGATTTATAGTTTGTAAATTTTAAAAAGAAAAAATTAATATAATCTTAAAAATTGATTTTTATATTGTTCTAAAATTCAAATACTTGAAATAAATAAATAAAAAAAAACAATTTAAGTACTTATTAAAAACATATAAATATAACTAAAAAAAAAAATAATTAAAATAAAATAAAGAGCAGTTTTATAAGCAATCTAAGCTGACCAAAACATTTAATTTCATGAAGAACAGTAAATTGGAAAATGTTAATAATTGTTGAGATAGAGTCTCATAATTGTCTGCTAGCGTTCAATTAGTTTATTATTAAAAATTTTTCATGGTTTTCATTTGTGCGTATTGTAAATTCTAATTATTTTCATTTAAAAAATTCTTTCAAAATATAATTTCATTCCTGTATTTAAATTACAAGTAACTTTGATATCTGGGTTGTGTACAAAAATACAAAAACGCACAAAAAATTTTTTTGAGCATTTCACAACATTTCCTTATATATC